ATAACACTGGAAAGTGTTGAAAATGACTTGTATTTGTGTTTTTCTTTCCTCAGAAAAGGTAAAGAAAAAGAAAAAAAAGGGCAAGAAAAGTGTGAAGTGATTCTTCCTTTTGTGAGAATTGTAACTATAGTAGTAAATTTTGAAATTGTACCCAGTATTTTTCTTATTAAGAAATGAAAACACTGAATTTGAGCACATACACATATCTTCTCTCTCTCACTCTTTCTCTCCTTATAGTATATAATTTCTTTGTTGTTGTTATAAAATGTAAAAGATTATGCCTTAAGCCAAAGTGTTTTAGTTCAAATATAAGCTACAAGCTCTGTGACTTTATTTCACTTCTCTGTGTTGATTTTCTCCCATCTACAAAATGTGGATACAAATAGTTTCTATCTCATAGGGTTGTTATCAGTATTAAAAGAATTAATATATGTAAGGTACATAGAACGGCCTATAAATTATTTTAAAATGCTGCCTGCTATTATTACATGAATCCAAAATCATTTTCACCCGAAGTAAGTTTTTAAAAACTAATCAGTTAGCCCTAACCGGTTTGGCTCAGTGGATAGAGCGTCGGCCTGCAGACTGAAGGGTCCCAGGTTCGATTCTGGTCAAGGGTATGTACCTTGGTTGCAGGCACATCCCCAGTAGGGGGTGTGCAGGAGGCAGCTGATCGATGTTTCTCTCTCATCGATGTTTCTAACTCTCTATCCCTGTCCCTTCCTCTCTGTAAAAAAAAATCAATAAGATATATTTTTTAAAAAACCTAATGAGTTAACTCAGAAAGTATAATAGTATTAGTTGTAATTATTTCAGATATCGCTTCACTTCTCAAGGACTTGTGTGCTACACTCATATAGTTTAGGAATGTGCAGACAGTCTGAGGAGGGCGTCAGCAGCACAGGCTCAGGATAAAGAAAAGGACCTCCCACTTCAGCTTTAAAGGCCAAGTATATTGATATATATATGGAAGTGTACATAATAAAGACCTTATGAAATCATGTGATATCTGTATCACTTATAATTCCATAATCTCTGAAATTATCCTTATCTCAGATATATTTTAAAAAGAAAAAAAACTTATATGTATTAGAAATATTTACCTGTATTTTTATCTTTTAATAACTCTAACTTCACATTTCACACTGAGGTGAAGGTTAAAGTGAGAATTGTTATCGCTTGATGATAGATGCCCAGCAAAAGCCCAGGAGACATATGGAAACAGAGAAGAGTGTATGGTCCTGATATGAATTACTATAAAAGATGACTTTACAATTTTATAATGTACTAAGCTGAGAATCAAAAATGGTTTTATATTCTGCAAGTGTGGAGCTTAATTATACAGAATAGGTAATTGGAAATCTCATGTGTACAAAGACATGCATCTCTCAACAAAAACACAGAGGTAAAATTGAAAAGTTATATTCTATAAAATGACTTTATTATGCAGTACTTATAGGGCATCAAAATAGGTATAGACTAGTAATGCTATTTACAAATCTGGGAAATCATGTGCTGTTATAATATTAGGTAGCATCAATAAAACAGGTCCAGTTTGTTTTTCTAGGCTTTATCTGAATAAATATATATATACACACATATATATAGTTATATAATGTATGTTTATATGTTGGTACAGAATATAATTTATTCTTATATTTATATTTTAATTATCAGAAATATAACTCATATTTATAGATTAAATAGCTTCAATTTCAATATAATAGTCATAAAATATATTGTAAGAAAACAATAGTCTATAGTTTTAATTTAAAAACTAAAACTTATGGTGTGATAGCTCCTCATTCAAAATCAACCAGAGTTAAGTCAATATTTAGAAGCTTAGATTTTCAAATAGCACTGACAGACCAACTTGAGTGATCTTTACAGACAAAATCAGAAAATAAAGAATACTTTAAATATTAGCCTTTATAATAGTAGGGAGGTGTTCCTTCTATCACTGAAAGGAATTGAGCATAGCTGTATACACAAGTACTTCCAGCATATTAAATGAAATTAAAGTTGTCTATAGAACTGGTCTTATTATTCATTATTGTTAAATGACCTCTGCACACAAAGCACTCATCCTCTCTGCTCATCATTAAAAGGACCCAATCTAAAAGAGCATATCATGTATATTAACACTGGGCCATTTAATCAAACAACCTTTTTGCTGAAATATCTATCAAAAAAAAAGGGGGGGGGGAATGCTTTTAGGGGTAAGGTAAATGCTTTTGTGGATCCCTTCACAGGTTAAAACGGTCAGTCAGCAGCACTTTGAGTACAATGTAGGGCCTACAGAAGCAATCAATCGAATGGCACTTTAGTCTACTGTATTTAACAGCACTCAGAACAAGTGTTATTTTCACATGGATTTCCCCGAGCTGAAATGAATTTATCCCTTCTTTGTGCTTACACAGCACATGATTTCTTCTCTCCTACAACATTTGCCACATGTTGCCTTATTCTAAGCTCTACTTTTTTGTGTAAAAAGGTAAAATTCCAATCTTACAAATGTCTTCATAAAATAATTTTTTTTCCATTTTCCCCTCCTCTACATACCCTTCTTCTAAATCAGTAATTTTCAACTGTTATGCTGCAAGAATTTTTAAAACATGCAATACCTGATTATTTAGCCGGGGCACTGACCTCATTTCACTTACATTGTCAAAAAAAAAAAAAAAGACAACACAACAATAGTCGTTCAGTATGAATGCATCAAAATTATACCTATTTCTTTTGTCAGATCGGCAGAAACTACATTTTTGGTGTGCTGCATAATTTTAGTAATTAGTTTATGTGTGCCATGAGATGAAAAAGGTTGAAAATTACTGTTCTCAATCAATACTGTAAAGCACATGCTTGCTACACAAAATGCTAAGCTGTAAATCAATTGATACCACTATTTAAAAAACAAGTAACATGGAAAAGGAAAGAAGAGTGAACTAGAATAAAGGCACAATGTCATATTTTATATACTTTTAGTCTGTACACTGGCATAGAAAACTACCAGTGTTTCTTTCTTTCTGACCAAAAAAATGTTGGTAGTATATACCATGCCATGAAAAGTAAATTATTTGTGTGAATTTGAGGTCTACTCAATGGCAGTAGACTGCTATCTTCTCATGGGAAAATTCAATCGCAGAATAAAGTCTTATACTTCTCTGCTCCTAGTACCACATGGGAAGTACTAAAAATCTTTAAGTTGCATTAATGAAACCAATGGAATTTACATTTGTTTAAAAACTTCCCATTAAAGAAGTCAGTATCCACAGGCCACTATCATCCAAAAAAAAAAAAAAAAAAAAAGAAAGAAAGAAAACAAAAAAGAAAAGGTTTTAACTGACCTAGCTTTAGTTTTTTTGTTTTTTGGTGTGTTTTTTTTAAGTCTGGAGAGTTGAGAAACAGAGAGCAGACAGTTCTAGTGAAGAGGTCATGGATGAAACTTGAGAGCTTTAAATTGTTTTATAATTCAGCTGTATAAACAATTCTACAAGTTTACTCTTTTAATCATTTAGAAGCTATCCTATATAAAAATCATTTAGAAGTTATATATATTCTATATCCTAAAGCCTAAAATGCAAATACACAACAACCAGTTGCTATGACACGCACTGACCACCAGGGGGCAGATGCTCAATGCAGGCGCTTCTCCTAGCCCACAGGCCCCAGGGCCAGCCAAGGCAGGTGCCAGCAGGGGCCCCCTGATCAACCCACCAGTCTCCTCCCACAGATCAGCCCTGATCACTGGCCAGGCATAGGGACCCTACCCATGCATGAATTTTGTGCACGGGGCCTCTAGTTTATTATAATAAACGGCTAATATGCAAATTGCCCCCTTGACTGGGAATTCGACCAGTTCAACTGGGAGTTTGACCAGGGGATGTGGCCAGCTGACCAACCGCCCATGGCCCCTCCCCCTGGCCAGCCCTGCCCAATTAGACCTAATCGGGTTGGGTCAGCTGGACCCCACCCATGCATGAATTTGTGCACCAGGCCTCTAATTATCTCAATAAAGGCCCTGAAACCTTAGGAGTGAAAAAAAAAATAAGAGCTTTGAAAAAGAAATTAATACATCCAAATTAAGTCTGCATGTGAGGTGACGGGAAAAAAAAATCAATCACAGGTTTTGACCCATGAGTATTTTGCTGCTCATCCATAAGAAGGTGAGATCATTAAGTATCATGTGTTCCATTTACTACTACATATTTGCATCCTCTTATGAAGACATGGGATACAGTCATTAAGAGCTGTGCTTTAAGAAACTCTTAGCATGGTTTCAATAAGACACTCAAAAAAAGTACTTTAAAAGTATAAAACAAATTAGATGCTGGGTTTGTTCACGTGACACCAGACAAATTTCTTAGACTAACTACATACTGATATATTTCCAGAAGTAAAGAGTTGTTTGGTGTTACATATAAAGACATCCTTAAGAGAAATAAGAGGGAAATAGAGAAACTAATAACAGCCTATAATGGTCCCGTTTCTATCATGCTACAAAAAAAGAAAGAAAAAGATCCAGAGAGAATGATTGATTCATGGATGTAAGAATGTGACATAATATAAAACAGAAAGCAGACGATGGAATGTAGTGTGTGGCAAGAATGAAATTAAATGTGCCTTAGTCTGTCTTGGAAAGCTAAATTTTGCCAGGAGATGGCTTAGAATTTAACTGGTTCCTTGGAATAGTACCAACTTGTCTGTAAGCTTACAGTATATATAGTGTCTCTATAAACTTAGTCTATCTTTGGCTGTTTGATTAAGGGCCATTTACTCCTCAGTTTTGTGATATATTAAATAGTCAAACTACTCTTTTAAATGAGAAACATTCTTATGGAGGAAAAAGTAAAGTAAATATAGTAACACATAAGAGACCAAAGAAGTCATCTCCCTTATCATCACAGCAGCACCAACTAAATCCTTATAAGGCTGTCAGGCTTGCTGTGTGAATATCTGAAATAAGACTTCTATATTGCAACTGTCAACACCTTCCACACCAGGATCTGCCCCACAAAATGTGTGAATCTACAGATACTTTGTCATTATATGACACTTATTATAAACAGAAAATCTTATCAAGTTTCGTGACATATCCTGATTTAAAGGTCTCAAAGACCATAGAGTAATCACATAAAATGTAACTACACTGCAGTAATTATTTCATTTTTATATATTATGCATAATTAGCTTTAATATAATCTATCAATTGTAAAAATAAGACATGCAGTCATTTCCTTCAGCTTAGAAATACAAAACTTCACAAAGGTTGTAATGAGAAATAAGAAAATTACTATAAAGGACTTTACAAATATGAATAGCCATACACTGTCAAAAATTATCAAAGAACATTATTTAATGTGAATGTACTGGCAATTTATGTAAAAGTACTTATTTGTAAATAAACAGTTTAAATGAGTTGCTTTAGTGTAATCAGATCACACCATTATATTGTGTTTAGTTATGGGCACTATATTCTAAAAGGAAAGTATACAATTTTAGAGCATATTCAGAGGAAAATAATATGCTCTATCCTTTAAGGTAAGCTGTAGTATTTGGGAAGATTTAAACTGGAGAAAAGATGAATCAGAAGAGACATAATGTTTTGAATCACATATATGGCTGTCATGTGAAGAATTGTTTTCTGTGTCTCCAAGATAAGGGAATAAAATAGAGAGAAAAAAAGATAAGTGGGGAAACACTGACAGTGGGAGGAAGCTTTTTATTCTATACTAGAGGACCGGTGCACAAAAATTCGTGCACTCTGGGGGGTCTCTCAGTCCAGCCTGCACACTCTCACAATCCGAGACTCCTCAGGTAGGGTCCAGTCCCATGGCAGAATGGCTCTGGTTCCCTGGAGCCTGTGGGTAGGGGGAGGGACCAAGAGGCCAGTCAGATGGCAACATGGCTCTGGTTCCCTGGAGCCTGCAGGTGGAAGGAGGGACCCAGAGGCCAGTCCAATGACAGCATGGCTCTGTTCCCACAGCTCCCTTCCGCCACCGTGCCGCGGGCGGGCAGGACCTAGGACTGACTCTCACTGAGGGTGGCTGGGACCCAGGACTGACTCCTGCTGTGGGTGGCCAGGACCCAGGACTGACTTCCGCTGCACTGGCTGAGACCCTAGCCTGGTGTTCAGTCGTCCGTCCAGACGTTTAGGTTGTGACCGACCCTGGCTCTTTATATATTAGGATGATGTTGAGTCTGGAGCTCTCTGTGAATAGAATAAGCTATCTACATACTGATATAATTCCTGAAGTAAAGAGTTGTTTGGGGGTCACATATAAAGACATCCTTAAGAGAAATAAGAGAGAAATAGAGAAACTGACTAATGAATGGTCCCATTGGTATCATGCTATAAAAAAAAGAGAGAAAAAAGATCTAGAGAGAATGATTAATTCATGGATGTAAGAATGTGACATAATATAAAACAGAAAGCAGACGATGGAATGTAGTGTGTGGCAAGAATGAAATTAAATGTGCTAGACGTATTCACATACAACTTGGTTTAACTACTGTGGAGAAGTTTCAAACATAGGAAAGGTAGTGGCTAAAAAAACTATCTTCCAATCGTTAAAGCACTTAACACTTATATAAATACTAGAGGCCTGGTGCACAAATACGTGCAGCAATGGGGTTCCTTGGCCTGGCCTGCAGGATCGGGCTGAAACCGGCTCTTAAACATCCCCTGAGGGGTCCTGGATTGAGAAAGGGCACAGGCCAGGCCGAAGGACCCTACCGGTGCAAGATTGGGGCCGGGGAGAGTCGCTGGAGGTTGGCCAGCCAGGGAGGGACCGTGGGAGTGCTCCAGGGTGTGTCTGGCCCGTCTTGCCCAGTCCCCAGCAGCAAGCTAACCTACCGGTCAGAGCATCTGCCCCCTGGTGGTCATTGCACATCATAGCGACTGGTCGACCGGTCGTCTGTCTGCTCCCTGGTGGTCAGTGCACGTCTTAGTGAGCGGTTGAGTGGCCTTAGCATATCATTAGCATATTATGCTTTGATTGGTTGAACAGCTGACCAGACACTTAGTGTATTAGGCTTTGATTATATAGGATTATACAATGAACATGAATATATATTAGAACAATAAATAGTCTAATTTATGTGTCCTATGATGGGGACATTATTATGAAGAAAAGAAGGTGATTGTTATCTGTCTCCATGGCACTCACTATTGCCACTTTCTAGTTGAAGCCCCTCCTATGAATAGCTACTGTGCTAATTTTTATGATCCCACTCCTCTGGATAAAATTAGTTAACCAGAAGCAGTTCAATTTCTCTGCATTCTAGAATAACAGCAATAACTTAGGGTAGAGAGAGATGTTGGCATGGACAGTGCCTCTCTTGTATCATCACAGAAAACCTAACGGCCACTCAATAATGCACATTGATTTCATCCATACCTATACATCTCTCTCTCTCTCTCTCTCTCTCTCTCTTGTGTGTGTGTGTGTATATATATATGTGTATATATATATATATATATATACACACATACCTGCATACATATAGTACATACATAGCACTGAATCATCATTCAGATGTTATTGACTGAGTAATCTCTTTAATAAGGCTCTACCCACCCTGAAGTTTTTCTCATTATGGACCTTGGAACAGGCCCAGTTTGGATGGAGTTAGGAAAGTTAAATTCCAATTAAATGCATTCTACTGTCCTAGTCTATGAATACCTTATAATTACTTGCCTGAAGTATAATACTCTCCTAAACTCCTGTCTTCCTCCATTCCATTCAGCCTATGAGATATGGGCAGATTAATCTTCCCATATCACTGCAAGTGACATATATCTGCCTACAAAGCTTTACCATTAACCACAGAACAAAAATAGTAGCTATTGTAATTTATTGATTACAATGTGTTTTAAAGATTTGATTTTAGTAGCAGTATAGACTTTTAAAGGGAGGTAGAAAGATTATGTACCCGAAAACTTCAATAATCTGGTCAAAATATTGAGAACCTAAATGTGTTAGTAGTATTTACCAGTATAATTTCAGGGGGAAAATTACACATTCAAGAAACGTTGAAAACTTTTAATTGTTTTGAGGCTAGTTTGATTTACAGAGGAAAAGAAAAAACCAAGTTGGGTGATATTAAGGGACTAAGACAGGGGTGGGCAAACTTTTTGACTCGAGGGCCACAATGGGTTCTTAAACTGGACCGGAGGGCCGGAACAAAAGTATGGATGGAGTGTTTGTGTGAACTAATATAAATTCAAAGTAAACATCATTACATAAAAGGGTATGGTCTTTTTTTTTTTTAGTTTTATTCATTTCAAACGGGCCGGATCCGGCCCGCGGGCCGTAGTTTGCCCACGGCAGGACTAAGAGGATACTGCTACTGCTGCCAGTTACTATAATGAGGGAAATTAGAACAGGCGATCAATTTTGGGGAGGAATAGTTTAGTTAGAAATGGTTATGGGAATGTAAATTGTTCATTAATTGAAAATAGGGCAAGGGCTTTGTTTATAGTTGGGGACTTGAGATAGGGATTTGATCATAATGGTGAGAATTTAAACATTAAGAAGACGTTAAAATTCATGGGAATACATGCATTATCAGAGAAAAATGGCTTTAACCAGGGAAGAACATAATGTCAGAGGTTGAACTTTAAATAATACCTACACTCAAGAGGGCCGCTGAGAAGCTAGAGTTGGTAAACATTAAGCACACATATAGGAAGAGATACAGCAGAGTTCAGTGCTATAGACGTTCAGCAGAAATAAACTGTTGTAATATCAAAGAGGATGCAGATGATAAAAGGCCTTTATATTAGTGATGTGAAAAATCTCATCAAATCCAAAGATGACATTTGAAGGGTAAGAAACAAAGTGGTGAAGATAGATGACAAATTGCATGAGGATTAAAAGGAAATGGAGGTAATGAATAACTTTTATAGCACGCCATAATTTATAATGGGCACTTTACATACCTTAGAACATTAAGAAAATGGATAGAAACTGTTTGGCTCAAGTAAGATAATTTTTAAAATTAAGGAGATTCGGCAATCTTTAAAGACAGAAAAGGAAAAGAAGACTGATGCAGCTGGAGGGGGTAAAAATAGGAAGCTAATTCTATTCTGCAGTACACTGAATGGAGAGAACATATGAGGGAAGGAAATGTAGCAAGTTTTACAGGACCCACTGAGCTAAAAACAACAACAAATTAGAAATAACACTTTGTCTTCACTTTTTTCCCCAGGAAAGAGAGGTGAGATCATCTTTTGAAATTGAGTGTGGATCAGGGGTTTTCAAAGAGACAAGTCTGCAATAGCCATTCAACTAACAAGCAAGCTGAATTCTGACAACATGAACTTGTAATGGATCAAGTCGTCCTAGGTCTCCACCATCTCCCATCATGTGATAATAAAGAATTAGGAATGTAGGAATCAAATATTGTGGAGAAATTCAATATTGAGCATTTGCTTATGAGCATGGCAAAAATTTACTACTGAGATAAACATAATCTGATGTAATTTTAAAGGGCCCCTACACACTAAACCAACAATTTACAACTTCTTTTCCGTTAGACTCTCAAAAAAAACAACCAACCCCCAAAACAAAAAACAGTGACAACAACCAACACAACAATATCATCTGGTGTGAATGAATCAAAATTATACCTTTTTTTTGTCAGATCAGCAAAAAAATATATAATATCTATTTTGGTGTGCTGCAGAACTTTAGTAATCAGTTTATGTGTGCTATGAGGTAAAAAGGTTGAAAATCACTACACTAAACTATGAAGATATTCTAAATATGGAAGTTCTTTTTAATTAGCTATATAGGTATTAAAATATTTCCAGAAATTTCTAGTGTAAAATTGACCAGTTAGGCTTTCTTAATGTCATTCTTAGTGTCCCATAATAACAATACCCTAACTGTGTGAGGTGCTTTACAGTTCATACAACATTTTCATATGTATTACCTCATTTGGCATTCACAAGTCTCTTGACAATGTCTCAGTTTGAAGTCTAACAACTTGCTAAAAAAATCCTATATTAGCTCTTTCTTTTCTATTTCTTATGTAATCTAAATCCTCAGCAAAAAAGGTGCCTTGGATTGAATAGGTCTTGTGCCCAGAAAGTCACATTAATGTTTCTCAAAACATTACCCTCTGTTCCCATTACAAAAATATTCTGGCCCAAGAATCTAATCATGTGAAATTGCCATTTAAAGACTTTCAATAGTTTCCCATTCCCTTAAAACAGTGGTTCTCAACCTTCTGGCCCTTTAAATGCAGTTCTTCACGTTGTGACCCAACCATAAAATTATTTTTATTGCTACTTCATAACTGTAATGTTGCTACTGTTACGAATCGTAATGTAAATATCTGATATGCAGGATGGTCTTAGGCGAACCCTGTGAAAGGGTTGTTCAACTGCCAAAGGGGTCGCGACCCACAGGTTGAGAACCGCTGCCTTAAAATAAAATCCTCCTTTTTGTTTTCATGACTAACCAGACTAGGCTAGCACCCATGTGTGTGCTTCCACAAGTTCTCATAATACCCATCTACTTGTTGTTGTTATTCCTCATCCACCTGAGGATATTTTTCCATTGATTTTTTTTAGAGAATGTGGAAGGCAGGGAGGGAGGGGGAAGAGAGAAACATCAATGTGAGAAAGACACATCGATTGGTTGCGGTCCGCACCTGCCCCAGGGGATCAAACCTGCAACCCAGGCACGTGCCCTTGCCCAGAAATCGAACCCGTGACCTTTCACTGCCTGGGCCCACACTCTCACCCTGAGGAACACCAGCCAGGGCTCATAATACCCATCTTAATTTTGGTTTTTTTTCAATGTTTGCCTTTCCTGGTAGACTTGAACTCAAAATTTCCTATATCTAGCATATCGTCCTTGGACATACCAGTAGCAGGTGATTAATACATATTTGTTTGCGGTACAGTTTAATTATAAGCAGGAATGAATAGTTTTCAGCTGTAAATCAATCAATTGATAACCTCGCTCCTTTTGAGATTTGTAAAATTGATACTAGTATTCTGGAAGACGAACTCACTGTGATTGGGTTGGCGGCATCGATGTCTAGTCCTCCAGAGCCGGGCTTTATAGAACACAGGGACCTCACCAGCAAGTGGCATCTGGTCAGATTGCGTGAGAGTAATATTTACCCTTTCCTGGTGGACACCCCCACCTTACAAAACTACACAGAGGAGATCCATCTTCACTCAAACCTAAGTTCACAACGAGGACACTTCTCTTTAAGAACACAATGATCTTCCACAGACTTTTTAACAACTTGCAGTTGTGGCAAGTTTTCTTTCGGGCTTATTACCTTAAGCTGGTCCTTCTGTTTTACCAGCTTCAATTAACTATACACTGAGTGGCCAGATTATTATGACCACCCCATCAGTACTGCGTTTGGGCCACCTTTTGCTTTCAATACAGCGACGATTCTTCTTGGCATTGACTCCACGAGATGTTGAAAGGTGATGTGAGGAATCTGACACCATGCCTGATGAATAGCACTGTCTAGTTCTATGAGATTTGATGGTTGTGGAACCAGCTGCCTGATGGCTCTTTTAACTTCGTCCCACAAATGCTCAATTGGATTGAGATCTGGTGATTGTGGGGGCCACCTAAGCAAGGTAAAGTCTCCCTCATGTTCTTGAAAGCACTCCTGCACAATACGAGCACCATGGCATGGCGCATGGTCTTGTTGGAAGAAGCCATCTCCATTGGGATACGCCATCAACATGATAGGATGAACCTGATCAGCACCACCGATACTTAGGTATGTTGTGCTATTCAGACGTTTATAATGGTCTGGCCCTCTAGCAACTTCAGCACGAAACTATAGCTAATTTGCCTACAAAAGTCGGGTGGTCATAATAATCGGGCCACTCAGTGTATTTAATTATGTTATGACTAAATGGATGTGGCTAGAAAAGATAGCACATAGCAATCTATATGTAAATGGTTACTTTGCGGGTTAAACATTTTTGAAATTGGAAAATCAATAAAAAGGAACCTTAATTTCAAACACAAATAACACCACAAAGGGGAGGGAGGTCACTATTTTTGGATCCTGCGATGGTCACACAACGAAACACTACTCCAAAGAAGCAAATGGTAACAGAGGTCAACACGCTGTGTGACCTGCAACTACTGAATGTTTAAAGCATTTGTACCTTCACTAAGTGCACTGCACACTCTTAACTGTCGCTGAAAACAATGGGCAGACAAGTTCAGGGTACCTTGCAGAAGCACATTTCCTATTGCAGAGAAGGGAGGGAAGCGGGGAGGGGGACTGGTTCTGTCCCTGAACCGTGCCACCCCGCAAATAACCCACTCATTCCTCACACGGAGGAAGCTGACCAGAACGGCCCGCTGAACAAGCAAGGTTTGGGCATTGAGCAGCGGGAGACCTAGAGCGATCGAAGGCAGCCCGCTGGTTCCAAAGCGCCCAATACGAAAGGTCTGCACTCGCCTTATTTTTCCAGCCCCTGACCACCAACCTGCTCACCCTCACCTCCCCGCGCAGAAACGCCGCCGCAGTGCCAACCTGGGCTCCAGCTGACACTGCGAGGAGGGAAAGGACGCCAAGTCGCCCTCGCCAGGAGCCAGTGACAGGTGAG